GCAGGGCCCAAGCACCTGGGCCATCCTCCACTGCACTCCCTGGCCATAGCAGAGAGCTGGCCTGGAAGAGGGGCAACCGGGACAGAATCCGGCGCCCCAACCGGGACTAGAACCCGGTGTGCCGGCGCCGCAAGGTGGAGGATTAGCCTATTGAGCCACGGCGCCGGCTAAAATCTTTAAAAAATAAAAATAAAAAAAGGAATACTCAGTCTGCAAGTGATTGTTTTTTTCTGCTTGAACATACCAAACTAGACACATGTTATGCAAACATGAATTTGTGCCTAAAAATTTGTATGAAAATACAATTATAGTTGTAAATACATTAATACGACTGCTTGCAGAAATGCCTCCTATTTCAAGTGATGTTTGTAAGGCACACTAAGGCAACAGACAAGGCTGGGGGTAACTGGTGCACTGCCATCTCTGTGGAACATGCCTCCACAATGTGTGAACCAGAATGCTCAATCTCTGGACAGTTTTTAAAGGTGATAACTATCTCTGATAAAAATAAAAAAAAAAATCCTCTCCTTAGCTGATTTGTCACACATACTTCATATCTCCACATGTCAGTTTTGTCGACTGATGTAGGTGCTTAATTATTGATTGTATATCTCATACTAGTTTATACTAAAAACATGCTAATTACCATACTTGCCTTGACCATACCTAGCAAGATTCTAATCCAAATATAAGCAGGAAAAAGCTATTACTCCATTTATAAACCACATATAAGAGTACTTTAAGAAGTCCATGGAAGATAAAATTCAAAAATAAATTTATTTCAGTGCAAAATCTTTTTACATCTATGCCTTATTTTTTCATAATTCACATTTTCCATGACATGAAATATAAGTAAGTTGAAATAGTGTTGCAGTATCAGAGGGAATAAATTATTCTACTAAAAATTTACTAGTTTATTATGGCATCTCCCTCTAGGAAGCAGTAGGGAAGAGATTTGGGTCAGTCTTGTTCAGTGCTATCTATGTTCCCTGACAATGCCTGGCACATAGAAGACACTCAGCAACTATTTCTTGAATTGAATTAGATCCACAAGATCAAAACAAATGGCTCCTCACTGGTTCTAGAACTGGAAATAGAAGGAAATCAGAGACCATGTAGCAGGACCACCAACTTCGCCAAATTCCACTGGCTATTTTATCCCCAGTTGGAACATAACTCCTTCAGTCACCACACCTTGAGGGTGTGTTGCTTTCTGATCAGTCTGTCAGTCTGATCAGTCTGTCGTTGCTGTACCTTATACAGACAGAAGCTCTTGCCTCCTTGGAACAATCTAGGACAAAGGTTAACTTCTTCCCAGAACCTGGAACAGACTAATGAGCCCTGTGGAATAATGTTTCTAAGTATTCAGCCTACTGGAATCAATATCAGTGTGCTGTCAGTGTATCCATTAGCCCCACACTCAAACAAAGAGCAGCCCTTGGTGCCCAGTAATGACACTGGGCGTGGACAGCTGGGGATAGGCAAGACGATGCAGAGCTGACTGTATCAGCTCTCCTCAGACACAGAGCTTTCAGGATATTGCACAAGACTGCCATTCTTGTACTTTGTCAGAGACAGACAGCTTTTGGTATCAGCCACTGATACATTCAGCAAAATACACCCTGTTTTTATCTTCCGGATCCAAGAGATGGATTCAGATTACACTTCAGGGCTGTGAGAGAAGTTTTTGTTCCTATTCCTTGCCTGAGAGGGAATGTAAATGTCTTCAAGTTGGGAGAATACTACATATTTGGCAGATAAGACCAGTACGACAACTTGAATCATTACTGACTCAGGTAAGACCTGCATTAAGCGCAGCTCCATCGTGCCCATGCTCATTCGTGTAGCACTTGCCATATGCAGATCCTCTAGAAAAACAAGCCAAGGAAGGGTAATGGTAAAATGTCCAAGGATCGATTCTTCAACTCTTAACTCTCAGGTATCAGAGTAAATTTTCACATCTGACCAAAAAGAATATGCTCATCTTTACAGTAAAACTGATTTTAGTATTGTAAATGAGACTTTGTCCTACATGAGCAATTTGATTTTCCGGCAGGCATGAGAAGAGTCAGGTGAGTGTGATGGGGAATAGACGGCTGATCTCTCGGGTATATACAGCTAAGGTGTCATAAAACAGAAATGCCTGTGAGTAGGAACATGTGCTTCGCAGCCTGGTCACATTGATTTGGAACCCCAACCCAATCACTTATAGCAAAGTTTGTTAACCTAGCTAAGGATTGGCTCCCACAAAATATGAATAAATAACACATAATCTTACAGAGTGAAACTGTCATCATGATTTATGTCATTATATGGCTAAATAAAGTTATACAAAGCTTGGTATTGTGCCTACAACATAATAAAAACTGAATGATTGCTGTAGTTGTTTTAATGATTATTTTTTATCATTCTCACCATGTCCTAGTTACCTGCAAAGAATCAACTTCTTTAAGACTTTGTAATTCAATAATGAGAGCCATAGCCAAAAGGAATGAACAAAAAGGTTAACTTTGTGTGAAGATTCCAGGGTCTAAACGTGGCCACACAGTAAACATGGTCTTGATGATCTATCAGTCATTACTGTGAAACAAAATTTTTTAAATTCTAAAAGTTTCAGTGAGGCACTAACAAATACAGTCATAGATTAATCTCTCCCTTCCCCTACAAACACCACACACACATACACACAAAATCCACCCCTTGGGGATATATTAAAACTAAGGCAACTGAAATAGCCTTAACCAGTAATTAAGACACACAGCTAATCAGAAAGCAGCACAGGCTGTGGCCCTCTGAGAAGGAACGAAGCACCAGGATGACGCTCCCATTACCAGGGCTTTGTTCTCCAAGAGCAAAAAGGGCACAAGAACAGAAAGTTGGGGGACTACAACAATTGCATTTGGAACATTTGCTGGAAGGTGGAGGCAGAGGGAGAAGCCCTAGGCTTGTCTGTACCGGTGGATGCTGCGCTCGGTAACTGCGTCAGCCTACACCCACCAGCGCCCTTCCCCACCCTCAAAGCATGACTCCACTTTTTCTAATGCTGCCCTTAAGGAATCTGGCCTCTGCGACTTCCAGTAATTGTACAGATCACCCATGATGAAGCAGCTTAGGGAACGGTAAGACAAAAGAGACAAGAATTAAGCAAACAGAAAACTCATTTAAATGCTGTCTTCAGTTGTCTCACTCCTGGCAAATCATGTTACCAAACAAGTCTTGTTTTGTTGCTTTTCCTTGGAAGTAACACTTTAAAAGAATCCTACCAGGCACTGATTTATAATCCGGCCACTAGATGCAATTTCCCTTCCCCCATCACCATCTAGCACTCCTCCCTGCCACCTTAGAGCTGCAGACTGAGCTGTGCTCACACCCAGCAGTCCCAGCAGAGCTTTCTGCTCACATTGTACGACATTAAAGAGCAGGCAGCAAACAATTCATGGTCCTAAGCGCTTGTGATAACACCAGGCTGAGCCGACCTCTCCCAACCCATGCAGCTGCATGTCAGCCACATAAGCTTAAGGGACTGAGAGGAGCATGTGGTAGAAACAAAGTAATTAAAAAACCCAAGGTCTTTCATTCCGGCTAGTGCCTGACGGAACCAATATGCTCAACTCTGGGAAAAAAAAAAAAAAAAAAAGACAATCAAGCTGGCTAGAGGTCTTGCTTCTCCCGTTTCCTGTGATACATCTTATTTAGGTTCGATGAATAGCCTAGAAGGAGATGGTCTCTGGGGTTGCCATTCTTCCCTGTAGGACTTTACCAATAAAAATTATCAACTCCACAGCGCTGAGCCACAAGACCACTCCCTGATCCTAAGTGGACATATTGATCAATCGGACTGACATGTGCCTCCCTCCTTTCTCTCTCCTTGTAGCAATAAACTGCACCAGGGAAATTCACTTTATTTTCCATAAAAAAGACAACACACTGCTCCTTATCGGACACTGTCAGGTTATATATATATATATATATATATATATATATATATGTATTACATATATATTATAAATATATATATATATATTTTTTTTAAGGAACAAATAGTAATGATGTAGATGCCAGAAGACAGAGCTTAGAGTTGAAATGAAAACGACAGAGTTTCAGAATTGAGTTGAGGCTAAAACTGAGTCCAGAGATCTATAATCCCTACAAGCATTGAGGATCCTGATATTTATGCATCACACCAGATTTTAGGTAAAGTTAAGCAAGAGATGGCAACACCAATGCCACTTCCAGAGGCTGTCTCCAAGGCTCATCCTTGACTGCGACTGCCGCAGAGACTTGTGCCTTTCTCAGTTACAAGTCAGCCTGCAAACAACTCCAGCTATTTTAGAGACTGGCTCGAGATGGGAAAATAGCGTGGCAGTGTTTCAATTAACTATGAAGGACACAGGCTAAAGAACTACTGTCTAAATTTAAGGCTCAATTCATTTCATTTGGTTTAGGTCTTAATGTTTTTAATCAATTCTCTCTTGAACGTCCAAGAGATCCCCTTTCACATCAGGGTTATGTCAAATGCTTATTCAGCATTCATTTCCTGCCATGAAGAGACTGAAACCCAACCAAGGAAAACACTGAATTTCACAGTGCAAATCATCAAATATTTCATAAATCACAAGAACAAACAGGGGACCAATTAGCTCTGCTCCATAAAAAAGAAAAACATATCTTTACAATGTTTAAATATTGTAAACTACTCATTTCAGACCTTAACTGGGGGTTTTATGAGAGAAAATTGTTGTATTTATGAACAATTCCATGAGAACACTAAAAATAACAGACTGAGACGGAGCAAAAATAATTCTAGGTATTTGGATTCCCGTACGACTCTTACAGGCCTTTGTCTTAACCCAGCAGCCTGAAAAACAGATTTAGGTAAAACAGCCCTTCTTTCCTCAGTCCATTTTAAGCACACAAACATCCCCCCATCTCCACCTTAGCAGACACCGACTAACCAACAAAACAGCCAGGCAATTAAGGCCCAGACATGTAACACTCACCATCTCCTGCTCCCACCGTCTTCTTTTGATGTTTACTGCACATCTGTAGGATGCAATACTAGGAGATGCCTTGTTTGACCTGCTGCATGATGCTGTGACATCAGTTCAGATGATGCAGCTCATTATGGGAAAGACTGCTGTTGCTATGGCAACTGGGATGTGCTAGGAATCCTTGCTGCATTTCCAGTGGAGCTTGAGACAATACGGAAGCCCTGTAAGAAACAGACGACATGCAAAATTTAGACCAGAGAGAGAGAGGATTCCTCATTGGATTAAAATCTATAGATTTAAAAGGGATTTCCTGAAATCACTTTGGAAAAAATTAAAATTACCTCCTCCTTGTTATACATTTAGGAAAAAAGGTGGTAGGGGAATACATTTAATATGAAACAAAAACTCAGACACAGTGCTTCCCTGGTAGGCAGTGTGACCACTTTTTCCTCTCCAGACACTGCAACACCTTTTTAAAAGTTATTAAAAAGAGTTTTTACTCATCTCTCAATGAATAAAAGAACAAAGCAGGGAATAAGAAAATAATTTGAAATGGATTATAAAGAACTGACAAAGTAACTGTAAGTCTAAAGTAAACAGGCTTTGATTCTTAAAAAATGGGCACTCAGCCAATGAAGTCTGCCTGGATCAGTCCCTCTAATGGACACCAACCCACAGAACCTTCTCATACAGAGTAATTTCGGGTCACACCTGATCACTGAACTGCAGTGGACTGTTTGGAATGGAGGGGCACACAGTATTCCACCCTCAACTTCTAGGGACCCTTCCCATTCATGGGCAAAATGCGAGAGTCTTTTCTGGGGCAAACCCTAGTGGCTGGAACAAGTGTCAGACCCGCCAGAAACTTCCTAAGTCATTGGCATTCCAAACATTGGGGTCTGTTTTCTTCTCCTCAGGGCAATTATACGGCCTACCACACAGGAGGAGATTACTCACACCCCTCCCCCAGTGAAAGCTGGAACTGTGTGAAAAGCCACATTTAAACAAGACACAGTGAGGTATTTCCCCAGTTGGTAAAAGAAAAACAAATCTAAAGTAATCACTTCTTTCCAGTCCTGAGCCGAAACAAACATCACGTGGTGAGAACCGGGTGGGGAAGGAGACGTGGACGGAGCAGCCCATCTCTTGCATATTTAATACTTGCAGACCATTGATAAGACACAGACTCAAGCTGACCTACATCCACTCTAGTTTTACAACTCTGTGCAAGAACAACATTCTAAAAGCCCAAAATATAATGAGACGATTATGTTGTCCCCTCCTACTTGACATTTTAAATGACACTGTTAACTGACAGCAAGGGGCGTGGGCAATGAGTGGCAGAAGGAATTCAGACCCTGTCTTTGTAAATAGGGGCTGATAAAATGTCTGAGAGGTGCCAAGATCCTAGCAGGGTGTACCATCAGCCACACACAGAGCAGCAGTGTTCCGGAGGGGAAGCTTTACATAATAAGAAATCAGAAACCAAAAGAAAGGTGAAGCTGCCTGCCCAGGTCATCCATGGGCTGCACAGCAGGGACAGAGCCTGACTCTTCTCTGCATCTTAGCCTTAGACCACATACCACGCACACTGAGGAAGGCAATAGGCAGCTACTCCAGCACAAAGAGCACTTATCTGGGATTCAGCAAACACAAATATGAATGCCAATTCCTCCCAGACATCTGTGTGACATCAGGCCAATCAATCAGACTAACCTCTCTGGGCCTCAAGTTTTTATCTGCAGAGATGATGGGTTGAGCTAATAATCACGGTTTTCAGATTTTTTTTTGGTAGAATGTTTTTCTTTTAAAATTTTTATTTACTGATTTATTTGAAAGTTTTTGGGGGAGGGAGAGGGGAAGAGGGGTAGAGAGAGACAACTTCCATGCACTGGTTGACTCCCCGGAATGACTATAATAGCCAGGGTTGGGCCAAGCCAAAGCCTATAGCCAGGAACTCCATCATGGGGGGCAGAAGTCCAAGCACTTGGGCCATAATCCACTGCCTTTCCAGGCACACTAGCAGGAAGCTAGAACAAAAGCAGAACAGGTGGGACTTGAATCAGCACTCCAAACTGAGATGCCAGCACCACAACACTGGGACTCATTTTTTTTTTTTTTTTTTAATGAAAATTGGCTTGGTTGAGGGAGATAAGAAACCTAGAGCCAAGACTGATGGCCTCTCCTTATCTACTACATCCAACTTTGTCTGTTATGAGCGGACCCCTGGAAGTTATCTCTTAAAAACTCTTCAGTCTCTACCAAACATACCAGGGGATTCCAAGTCAATCCCATCAAGGTGGCATGTACCAATGCCATCTCACTAGTCCCAGTGATCAATTTCTGTTCACAATTGATCATAATGATAGGACTAAGAACCAAAGGGATCACATAAACAAAAATAGTGTCTGCAAATACTAGCTGATAGAATAAAAAGGGGAGAGAATGATCCAACATGGGAAGTGCAGACCCATAGATTGGCAGATGTCCTAAACAGCACTCTGGCCTCAGAATCAGCCCTTAAGGCATGCAGATCTGGCTGAAAATCCCATGAGACTATTTCAGGCATGGAAAGCCAAGACACTCTGGCAAAAAAAAAAAAAAAAAAAACAACACCTAAATGAAAGATCTCTGCGAGTGAGATCCCAGTGGAAAGAATGGCTCATCAAAGAAGGAGGTACCTTTCTCTGAAGGGAGGAGAGAACTTCCACTATGACCATGGCCTTGTCTAAAAATTATCAGAGTCAGTGAACTCAGGGGGCTTCCATAGCCTTGGCAACTCATGACAAGAGCCTAGGGTGATTACTGAGGCCATAAACAAGAGTGTCAATTTGTTAAGTCAACAACAGGAGTCACTGTGCACTTACTCCTTATGTAGGATCTCTGTCCTTAGTGTGCTGTACATTGAGATTTAATGCTATAATTAGTACTCAAACAGTATTTTTCACTTTATGTTTCTGTGTGGGAGCAAACTGTTGAAATCTTTACTTAATGTATGCTAAACTGATCTTGTTTATAAAGAGAAACGAAAATGAATCTTGATGTGAATGGAAGGGGAGAGGGAGTGGGAAAGGGGAGGGTTGCGGGTTGGAGGGACGTTATGGGGGGGAAGCCATTGTAATCCATAAGCTGTACTTTGGAAATTTATATTCATTAAATAAAAGTTTGAAAGCAAAAAAAAAAAAAAAAAAAACCTCTCCAGTCTCTGGAGACAATGAAATAAAAGCCATGGACCTAGAACAAGATTAGACTTTCCAGAGCTAAAATACCATGATTCTGTAAGGAGAAGAGGGCAGGATGGAATCAGGTGTTCTAGAATTGAACATGGCTTCTCAAAATGAGAAGAATCTTATTGGTCTCCTTTGCTAGCAGCAAGTCATTTGTTTAATGAGAAGTAATGAATGGTTCACTAAATCTGGGGCCAGCTGAGACTTTGAACAACTTGAACTAGCTGAATAGCTGGCCCACAGAATAGCCCATCACTGTATCCTCCCAACCCATTCTTAGAATCTCAACATACGGAGGCCCTGAGAAACAGAAGCTCAGACTTGCCCAGGAAGCAGCTAGGAAGACCACCCTGAGCAGCTCAGCCACTGGAGGCCCTGCAAAATCATCAAGCAGCCCTTGGACCCTCTATGACCTGGTCCCTGTGCAACCCTCAGGCATTGACAGGCACCCCCCTGCACTACTGAGCATGCTGCACCACACCCTCCTGGGCCCATTGTCTACATGGTGGACACAGTCCAGAGAAACTAGTGGGAGCTCCCACTCCCGAAGAATGTACAGTGTACCCAGGGTTGCCAGAAAAGCCACTCTGACTAAGGGACCGTCATACTAGTTCCTGGCACAATTCCACAACCCCTACAGACTAGGCCAATGAGATACTCACAGACATCACCTATATTAATTACAGCTAGAGAAGCTTCACAGACATTATATTAATGCACTCAACTGGAACCAAAGTCAATGAAGCTTATCTAACCGATATCCTCAGACAGATAGCTAGCCAAAAAAAAAAAAATGTTTTACTACAAAAATCATGCCTGCCAGATGAAAAAAAAATTTAAGGACACAGAAAGCATTAAAAACAAGGTAACTTGACATCCCCAAAGGAACCCAATAACTCTCTATTAACAGACTCTAAAAAGAAAAAAGAAAGAAATTGACAAACTGCTTGACAAAGAATTCAGAATGATGATGATTTTAAGAACACATAATACCAACAGGATAATTCAATGAAACTAGAACAACAATGACATGAATGAAAAATCTTGCAAAGAGAGATAGAGATCATAAAAAAGAACTAATCAGAAAACTTGGAGTTCAATAAATGAAACAAAAAATACTCATACGGTTGAAAACCTCAGCAGCAGAATCAATCAAGCAGAAGAAAGAATTTCTAAGCTTCAAGACAGGCCTTTTGAAATAATCCAAACAAAGATTAAAAAAAAAGAAAAAAAAATAATAGAATGAAGAAAACCTTCAAGACTTATGGGACACCTTTAAGCAAGCAATCACATTAGGGGTGTTCCAGAAGAAGAGAGGAATCTGTTCACCTGAATTTTCTCTGAAAACTTTCCAGATCTTGGGAAAGATAGGGACATCTAGGGACAGGAAGTCCCAAGAACTCTTAACAGATGTGAACAAAACACAAAATAAATTAAAATGCTCCTTCTGATAATATAGTCGAATTGTCAAAACTACAGTATAAAAAGAGAATTCTAAAAACAGCAAGAGAAAAAAAGCACCAAGTCACTTACATGGGAATCCTCATTAGTCTAACAGCAAACTTCTTACAGAAACCTTGCAGGCTGTGAGAGAATGGGATCATTTACTCAAAGCCCTAAGGAAACAAAAATGGCTAGCCAAGAATACTACACCAAATAAAGCTATCCTTCAGAAATGCAGATGAAATAGATGGTTCACAAGAAGCAAAAACCAGGATGTTCACCACCACCAGACCAGCACTACACAAAAGACTTAAGGGAGGGGCCACAGCTGTGGCATAGCAGGTAAAGCTGCCACCTGCAGTGCTGGCATCCCATATGGGCGAAGGTTCAAGTCCTGACTGCTCTACTTCTGATCCAGCTCTCTGCTGTGGCCTGGGAAAACAATGGAAGATGGCCCAAGTCCTTGGGCCCCTGCACCCATGTGGGAGATCCAGAAGAAGCTCTTGGCTCCGGACTGGCTCAGCTCTGACCTTTGCGGCCATTTTGGGAGT